TTTACTCTATGAATAATATTTTCATTGATGTCTCCATCTTGTTGAATAATTGATCTAGTATACCAAAAACTTTTACTTAAAGGACTTCTTGTCCATGTAATTTAATTGTATTCTCTTGTCTATTTCTAGAATCACTAAAATTGTATTTTATTTATTCAGTTTTAGTCCTACTTAATCGAAAACATTTAGTTTCTAAGGCTTGCCTTTATAGCTCAAGTTTATAATTAATTCCACTTAGGCTCTCATCAACTAAGACAATATCATCCAAGGTTTGCTTTACCGGTGTATCGACCAACCATCTGTATGTTACGTACCGACGTACTGTATGTCGGTACATTGGGGCATATCAACAGTATAGTAAAATCACCAAAAATAGCTCCAAAAACACCTGAAAAATAGAAAAAAGTTAGATTAGGGGTTTTAAGTTGAAAATAAATATAAATTTAGTATAATTTTAGCAAAAATAATTTAAATTAAGAAAGAATAGTGACCCATATCTTTTTTAAACTTTAAGGAGTAGGTTTGTGGTACGTTTTGGACCACCCTTTCGTTAATATTGAATTATCTTTTAAAAAAAAGGATTTGAATTGTTAGATTATTTTTTAAACAACGTAAATTTTAAGATTCAAATGAATAAAGTAATCAATCAATGGATATACCTGGTTCTACCACCAAAAAGAGCAACAAGACTCCACGGGTGGTGGATTGGGGTCCTCAATCTTATGTCTTTGTATATCAATTTGATATATTTATCGGACCTAATAATAAATACTGATACATCGTATGCCATTGGTGCATCAATGTAGTGTTAGTCATAGTTTGATCATTGTGAACCACATGTGTCCAAGGCATTTCCTAAGCTAAGGATGATTATGACATGTATTAGTGCGGAGCAAGGAGAATGTCAGAACTACTTTTGCCACTGATCTGTTGCTTTGTATCATAAGATCGATCACTATATTACTGCTCGAAGAAGTATGACCAACTATCACCGTGTTGTTGTTGGTCGTAAGACTCTCTATAATATGATGGTTGTGAATACGATGAGCTTCGCACTGTATCTATGTCGTGTAAGCTCTGTCACATATGCTCATAATCATCCATTACCTTCCCCTTCTCCTTCTCCTTCTCTTTCCCCTTCCGTGTATAAATTTGACCAATACTCGAGCTCCATGATCTGAATCTTAGGTGACACGTGTAAAATATTGCTCCTCAATCTATGCATCACCCTCAAATTAGGTGACATGTGTAAAATATTTGTTGATTAGAGTGTTCTTCCTCTGAATCCTCCCAAATTTGATCCAATCCACAAACCGCAGCTTTATTGAGTTTAGGAGAGTGGAAATGTGATAATGAGAGAGAGATATGAGTGAGAAAGAGCTTGAGAGATTTGAAAAGATTGAGATAGTGAAATAAGTTGAGAGAGGAGAGCGGAAAGGGTTTAAAAACTGTTTTCAATGGTTCAAACGATCAAATTGACCATTTGAAACAGGGCAATCTCAACCCTTGATTGGTAATGGTTGAAATTCGATCGTAACCGACCAATACAAGTTCATAATGGTCATATTTCGATTGTTACTGATCGATACAGACCTCGTATCGTCCGATACGAGGTCATGTAATTGTACCACCCGGTATAGGGCTATTTGTGTACTGATCCTTTATCGAACCGGTACATACCACCTCTATCGGGCGATACAGCTCGGCATGGTGAGCCTTGATATCATCAGCAAATAACATACACCACGGAGGTCCATCATAGAAGTGATTAGTAAGTTTATCCATTATCAATGTGAAAATGTAGGTTTTTAATGCAGATCCTTGGTTTAATCCTATGCTAATAGGAAACTCATTGGACACACTCCCTATAGTTTCAATACTAGTAGTTATGTTATCATACATATCTTTAATAACATCAATTTAATTAGTGGATACATCTTTCTTTTCTAAAAAATGTGGATGTTGCACAATTAGTATTATCAGCATCATTTTACATTGGTAACTCTACTACTGACTCCTGTTACTCAATGCATTAACAATTTTATTGTTGGCAATTGTACAATGGTTTTTCTGGGAGATTTTTCTTGAAGATATACAGAAGTTGGAACAAGCCACACATAGCAGTATAATGGAAAATCTTCTCCAGTAGGATGTTAAAGCCTATTAAAGAACATGTATTTTCTATTCATAGATTTCTGTCACATGGTGATGATGTCACTTTGATCTTCTGAGTCTAATAATTTGAGTAGATTTTCTTCCACATGCTTTGTTTCTCTTAAAACTTGGTCTCTGAGTAGCTTCTTGCATTAATTGCTGCTTGTAGGGCTATGGGTATGGAGGTGTGCTGCACCTTGGGCATGTTAGAGAAGCAGCAAGCGGAGGAGCTTAAGAAAGCAGGCCTGACAGCTTACAATCATAATCTTGATACGTCCAGAGAGTACTACCCCAACATCATAACAACATGATCGTATGACGAAAGACTGGAAACTCTTCAGTATGTCCGTGAGGCAGGAATTAGCATTTGTTCAGGTAATGCAACTCTGTTTCCATTGAGCAACTAATCCACAATCTTCTGATCTCATCTCTGACAAACATAGGATCTGACCCAATCAGGGTACTTGTGAATTCTGCTGACATATTGTGATATGTTGTAATTAATGTTACTAAATTTGATTTTTTTTTTGGGGTCATGTAGCCATTAGCAAAGTTATTTATAGCATGACTATGTCACTAAAAACTTTGTATTCCTACTGCTTCCAAACTTGAAAGACCTCGGTAGGAAATGTACCACCTTGTTGTCAAGAAGATGGTAGTAGCATGCACGCTGAGGCATTGGATTTTTTCTCACTTTTTCACCACATAATGGTGCTATTCTTAATTTTATAGCAGGAATTATCGGTCTTGGCGAAGCAGAAGAGGACCGTGTAGGATTGCTGCATACACTGGCAACCCTCCCTACACACCCTGAGAGTGTTCCCATTAATGCTCTGGTTGCTGTCAAGGGTACACCACTTCTAGATCAAAAGGTGATAACTTTACCTCACCATGTTGACCATAACCATTCTGCCTTTTCCCAAATATTCGGTTTAGTGGACTTCACATAGTTGGGTCACTTGAGAGTTCCATTTGCATTAATCTGTTGTATCTCTGTAGCTGTTCATTCCCAATTTTCTGTGTCTATACTCTATAACCTTTATGAAGCATTTTGAAAACCTACCTATTTTGCTCTTATTATAAGTAGACATGCCATTAATTCTCTGTATATGAATGATACCTCAGCAATCTCCTCTTGTGCTTCATGAAGTACGCCTTTCGAGCACCAAACCTGCTAACTCATGCTTTCTCTTCAGCCTGTTGAGATCTGGGAGATGATTCGGATGATCGCCACAGCTCGTATTGCAATGCCAAAGGCAATGGTGAGGCTATCCGCCGGCAGGGTTCGGTTCTCGATGCCCGAGCAGGCGCTCTGCTTTTTGGCTGGGGCCAATTCCATCTTCACCGGAGAGAAATTACTGACGTCTCCAAACAACAACTTCGACGCTGACCAGCTGATGTTTAAAATCCTTGGCTTGAATCTGGACTTTTCCCGAGGCAGAAGAGGAAGCAGAAGAAGCACTTGAGCCAGAGAGATGCGAGGAAGCTGTCTCTAACTAGGTTAAAGTTGATGGTGATACAATTTTTATCTGGTACCTGTGGTTAAACAGGGAAATTGAATTAGCTGAGCCCATTATATATGTTTTTGATGGTGTTACCTTGCCATCTCTGTGTTCTAGGAAGTCAAAAGCTATTCTCATCTGAGAAAAAGTATTGGAGGATCTATTTATAGGGAATTTTATATATAGATCCTCCTCATATATGTCACAGAGTTTAAGAAAATAAATATTTAAAATATCTTTATTATTGTCATTGATTATTTTAATATTTCTTTCCTTTTCTTTCATTGTACACTTTCATCTATCAAAGAAATTGTCCATTGATATTCTCTATTTATCTTTTTTTAAGTCAATATTTAACCACAAAATGGCTTATGATTTAACATTTCTGCTCCTCGGCTTCTTTCTCTCTCATTTCTTTTCTTATTGTCTGCTTCTCTTCACCTTCTCTCTCTTTCATTTCTTCCGTGATTTCTTTTTTTCTTTTTTTGATGTCTATCTATTGTCATTTTCAAATAGATTGATGAATACTTGGTGGCCACCACACCATTTGTTGTAGATTGTTAGGTGTTGCATAGTTGGACCACATCCACATGGTCAACTAGATAAATTTGACATGAGGAATTTATGGTCACAATATGTCTGTCCATTTTTAAGATATGATTCACACCATGTAACAATTTCTCCACTCTCCATTTATATTCCTTTTGTTGTGCCATCTATTCTAACATTCATCTTCTACTGCTCTTCCAAATCCTGTTCTCCATCCACCACCATTGAGAGAACCATTCTGTGTTCACTGTAGTGTTCTATTGCTTCTGACAAATCCTGCACTCATTCTTGAATAATTTTGGGGAACAAAAATGTCAAATACAATTGGAATAAATGCTTTGAAATGTGCATCTCTTTCCACAATAGAAGTTTCCTCCTGAGTAGAACAATTAATGCCAGTATCATCATATAGTAAATGGTATATGGCAATGTCAAGGCCCCAATCTTCCATGGATATTTTGCTGCATCAATCATACACTCATTTAATCAATGTGAATGATACATGTAGATTTGAGGACCCACAAGAGCATGATAAATAACTCTCATTAAACAACTCCAAGAAATCAAATCAATCTATCATAAAAACAGGCCTCCATGGCCAGAAATAAATTAAATGGAAAAGCAAAGAGTTTTCCGCAAGTAAAATGATGCAGGAACAATATGTTCCAGTGGTGTTTTTGGCCAAGTTATAATCAGAAGAATGACATTGGTTTTCTTTGGCTCTCTGTGGTGAATGCCTCACCTCCCTCTTGTCATTAACAAGCATCTTATGGCATGTCTGTGAACTGTAAAACATTGTAAGACTGCAAATCTATGATTATAATTTCATTCATATTACATTAAACAATATTCACAAACTAGAGCAATCAATATGGACAAGGAAAAAAGAAAACACATTTGATTCATCTATACTATCATACACGAAAGACAAGAAAGATGTGCTTTACAAGACTGTAGGTCAGACTTGATATCAATCTGATCTCAGACCTCAGACCATCCAGATAACTTCCTCACTTGTATATCTCTATCTTTATCTTCTTCCTCTATGCCTCAGTTTTGTACCTCTGGTATATGATTCTGACAAGAAACTCCCCTCTCTATCAAAAATGCTGCAGCATGCCATGACACCAGAGGATTAATTCTATTAATTCTTCCAGTCTCCAGAAGAACACAAAAAAAGATGAAACCCTTGTCAGCTGCATAATCTAATAGTACAAGCCACTGCTTGAGCCCAATACCTCAGCCTTGCTTTAACTTCATCTGGATGATCCCCTGGTGGTAGAAATATTAGTGAAAAGCTGAATCAGATACCAGGTCATTGCAGCTAAAACAAATTCGTCAAACATAAAGATCAGATCTTTTCTTCACATTCCAAGTACTTCCCGCAAACAAGGGCTGCTCCAAATGGTATATGGAGGAACAAAAATGGAATCTTTGAAACGAGGGTTTCGGAGAAGGGGGGTTGCAAGAACGGATTTTTGTACCTGGGCTGGAGATTCTCCAATTGGCGATGGGAGGAGACGTCGGCGACGCGCACAGATCCATGGACTCGCCAGAGGAGGAGCGGTAGAACGAGCGCTGATGATGATGATGGTGGTGGTGGTGATCGTCCAAGAACCTCTGGGTCATGGAGTAGCAGAGCTCCAAAGCCGGGAGCGTGTTGCAGAGCTCGGGGATCTCCTCGTAGCTGAAACCGAAGCCGAGGTCAAGGCACCCCTTGAGCTCCTTCAGGTCCTCGTCCGTCAAGCTCTTCGTTCTCAAGAATCCGCCGGGTCCCTGATCCCCACCGCTGTCCGCGCCGTCCACGTATCCCTCGAGCATCACCCCTCCACTCTTTCGTGGCCACGGCGCCTCGCCCCACCATCCTCTCCATTGTACCCCCACCTCCGCCTCCTCCTCCTCCTCATCCACTGCTACTGCCGGCTCCACCATTTCCTCCACCTCCTCCTCCATCCTCTCCGAGGTGATCGAAGCAGTCAAATCTCTCTCTCTCTCTCTCTCGGGTGTTCTTCTTCTGGTGATGTGGGTGGCCTTTTATGGCTTCCGCTCATGTGGGATATGTGATGATTCATCATCATCATCATCATCATCATCATCATCATCATATCATGGCATGTGATGCGGCCTCGAAGGCCCGAGACAATCTGGACCAGCAATAATTCTGCCACCAACTGGAATACCACCTTTGGTTGCTTACTTTTGTTTTATTGGACAGAACAGTGGGATCCACTGTTCTGTGATCAATATGGCAATAATAAGACAGGTACGAACCTGGGTACATGCCGCCGGCTCCGCAGTCGCAGTGGAAGCAGTGGGTCGCAGGCCACGCAATCAACGGGAGAGGTGAAGAACCCGCAACTTGGAGCCGGCCACGTAGAGGTGCGCTCATCACCGCCGTACGCGTGGCGCCCTTTCGATTTCAGTACGATTACATTTATATTCCCATATATATATAATTACTTTTACATTTATTCCTCTAATTTTATTGTTAACAGCCGAGAAACTTACTTATATGTCCTTTTAATTAATCTATACTAGCTTGACTGTCATTTAAGTGTTATATCAGGGATGCTTAAACTCTAATTGGAATATTTTTTGCCAAAAAGCTTTATTAAAGCAATGAGAATTTTAGAAGTATTTTATTTTATTTTTGTATTTAAATCTTTTTTATAAAATAATATTAGTAATTAATAACCAAGACTAGTGGTAATTTACTTTTAGATGGATGTATATACCAAGGATCTTAATATTTGGAGTCATATATATATATATATATATATATATATATATATATATATATATATATATATATATATATATATCTAATATGTTGATTGTTTGTAATGTGAAATAGTTCTAAAAGAGTGTTAAATAGGTACCTGAGAGTTAGTTCTATAGAATTCCAAATAATGAAAATAAGTTAGTCAAAAAAATATTTCACCTAAAAGAGTTCTAAAAGAGTGCTATATAATATAATATAATATAATATAATATAATATAATATAATATAATATAATATAATATAATATAATATGTTGATTGTTTGTAATGTGAAATAGTTCTAAAAGAGTGTTAAATAGGTACCTGAGAGTTAGTTCTATAGAATTCCAAATAATGAAAATAAGTTAGTCAAAAAAAGATTTCAATTATAGAATTTAAATAAATGGTGGATTAAATTGAATAGAGTAGCAACCAAGAAAAAAAAAAAAACCACTTAGCTAAATTATAATTATTTGGTCCAAATTATTTAATCTTGAATGAAAAGCAACAATAAAAAGTTTTCTAAGGTCATGAAAAAACAGTCTTGAAAAACAAACATAAAGACACAATCAAAGTTTAACATCTTGTTTCATGAAGAATCTCAATGTGTTTACTGGATAGAAATCAAACACAAAGCCTCGTTTAAGAACTTTCCTCCTCCTCCTTGTTATTAATGTTGTCTCTTTTTGAGAGAGAGAGAGAGAGAGAGAGAGAGAGAGAGAGGCTGAGAACAGAACTTCCAACAAGCACAAGAACAGAACATCCAAGTTGGAAGACTGAAGCACAGCTTTGGACGAAAAAGGCTTCTCATGTCTCTTCTTTCCACCAACCCCACAACAGGAATCTCTCTTTCATCTTCTGATACTTGAGGAGCCCATCAGTTCCACTGATTCTTTTTCTGAAACAAGATTGATCTATTTCGGTATTAATTCTAACAAGTGGATAAGGAATTATTTGTTGAAGTGTACTTTTGTTGCTATTGTCATCTTGACTTGAGAACAAACAAAAAAACCTTTGTAAGACTCTACTACAATAGATTTTATAGGTCTAATTCTGCTCTTTCAGATGGATTTTAAAATATGTTTTTCGAAAAAAAATATTTTTAATCCTTAGCGAAGGGCCAAAGCCTCTTTGGATCTTATGGTGAGCATCGTATGATAAGATTTACGCTAGTCATAAACTCGTATAAATTCTCTAAATTTTAATAAATTATTTATTATGGGTGAACTTAAATGATTTTATCCTTTTGCTATAAAATTTGATAGACTTGATGATTTAATCCTTTCATAGAAGAGTGTTTCAGAGTAAGTCACCTTTGACTCTTTTTTAAGCTTCACTTTTTCAACTTTTCAAAAATTATAAAATAGAAAAAAATAAATATAAAATTCTCATATAAGCAATTGAGAATTATCAGATAAGTAAGCAATTGAGAATTATCACATAATTAATCAAGCAAGTGAAGTTTGTGTCGACAGCATAGTCTGACATCATATTATACATTTGTTTATGGCTTGAGCTCTAAGAATTATGCAAAGATAATTTGTCAAGCTATTATTTTGTGAACACAATATTACATATCAAGAAATATTTAATATCGAGTGGGATATTAAAATCACATTAGGAGTAGCTGATTCCATCATCTAATCGTAGCCTAATGATCAACCAAGAGACCATATGATTCTCAACTAAGAGATGAGATATAAAAAACACAAGTAGAGAAGCAATTATGATTCTCACAGTAACATTTAATTCCTTTGGATTCAAGTCCTGACAGTAAGATTTATAGCTCCATGCTGCTATTAACTATTGGGAGATGTCTTATCAGCATAAGGAATTAGTTGTTGTCATTATTGATTGCTTGATAGCAGCAAATGCAGATACAAATCATGTAGGAAGCCAGAATTTAATGCAGTACACAAAAAAATCTACTCAAGACTTGCATTGGATGTTTCTAGTCACAAATATAAATATATATATATAGTTTTGATGCTTTTGATATACTTTATTCTTCATGCAATTTGGTCCTCCATCAATCTATTCATGAGCTTCTATGTTGATAGAAATGGCTACCTGTATACATTTCTTTCCACAAATAAAAGGTAATTGCTGTAATGGATGGGAAATCACATTTTCATTCTTTTTATTGCTGTAATGGCTGTAATAAAAGTATATTTGAGTAGACTCATTGAATATTTGTAGTTTGATGTTGGTCAGCACTTGGAATCTATTATTTTGGTGCATATGATCCACACCATATAATTATCTTATATGGTCCTTCTTCAAGCCTAACCCATCAATCTACTACATCAAGATAGAAATGGTTACCTGTGTACATTTCCTCCCCCACAATAGTAATTATTATTGTTGTTGACTTTTCACCACAACTTACAAATGCTTCCTCTCTCTCTCTCTCTCTCTCTCTCTCTCTCTCTCTTGATAAAATAATATTATAATTTTATGATAAAATAATATATTATAAAAAATAAACTTTATTAAAGATATCGACTAGCTTGACTATAAAGATTTTGATTATCGATAGATTATCGATAGCAAAACCTCAACGTCAAATCACATATTCACCCTTTTTAAAGGAACGATAAGTTTTATTCGCGCTCTAAATTATCTATACTTTATAATTACTCTTCTAACAAGTCTAAGCCATAATCTTTTTATCTTGATTGAAATAGCAATTTGTGTTTATTTTTTTCTACGTGTAAGAGGTAATCATTGAAATGGATATCATTCTTTGTTTTATTTTTATTCACAATGTATCATCATAATAATATTATCATTCTTTGTCTGCATTACCATGTTCAGACAAAGCCTTTTCTATGACAGCCACAAAACTATTAAGGTCCCATCTCATGACATAGACTGACTAATTAAACTATTGAATATGAATCACTAGTCCTTGGAAGATAGATATAATATGTGGTCATTATTTCAATCGACTTCAATCCTGTATCGCATGATGTGGATGCTGGCATTGCAGTTGCCGCCATTAATTTGATGCTGCATTATTCTAATCCATTCACACCTCCTTTTGGTCAATCCAATCAAACTACACCACCCACATTTTCTCTCTCTAGAAGCATTTACTTCATTTGATCATTGATGGGATTTTTAGTTGGGACGAGTCAAGCAAGGGAGGGAGGGAGAAGACAAGTCGAGAGTGAGACAGATAACTCAACATGGAGAACCTGTCTCCTATATTATACATATAGAGAACCAAAATAAACGAGCTATGTGGCAACATATGAGCAAGAGGTTAGGTGAGGATAGCAATTTGGTTGGGAGAGATGTGATCACATTATATATCAATTGCATATGCAATGGATTCATAATCCATAGAAATTGAGTTCCGTCATCGAGTTTGATCAGCAACTAACCGTATAATCCTAAATTTTCAATCATGGATTCAAGCTATTTATTTTCATTAACTAATTTTCTTATATTTTTGTATACACTTAAATAAATATATACATATATTAAATATAAATCGTAAAACAATTAAAGATATATCACGTATAGATAAAACTTATGCAAGAAGTAGTTCATATCAAAATACACAACACCATATTATTTGAGTTCTGCCTTGGTCTCTACTTGATGTAGCTCACATCAATACGAAAGTGGTTGTGGTGATGAGCGACGTCATGATACTCGACACGTATATGGACATAATGACATAATGATATAATAAGACGCATAGGGTATGAAGAAAGCACATGCGACCTTAGACAAGCATAAGCCAACTACCATATGGCCAATCGTTGTCGCCCAATAATTACAAGAGAATTCCCACATGAGATATTTAAAATTGACTTACGAAAAAGGATATAAGATTTAAAAATTAAATGATAAATAATAATAATAATAATAAAATCGTAAGATCCAACTATTTGGGATCGACTATCTAATTTTTTTTTATCACCTTTGAGATATAAAAAAATCATAAGTTTAATTAAATTTAAAAGATTTATTTTTTATTAATAATAAAAATTAAATAAATTCTCCTAAAAAAACTCTTTTCTTTTCTTCTCCCTCCCTCTCATAAATCGTCCCATATTTTTTTTAATAATACCAAAATGCTCTACAATTTGCACATTTGTGTCCTAAACAAAACTTTTTTTTCGATAGGAGAAATAAAAGGAAATAGTACAGAGGTATTGCTATAAATGGAGAAAAGCTAAGAACTCTACAGGAAATTTGCTGAAAAAAAGGAAAAAAAAACTTTTCTGAAAATACACCTACGAAAAATCACTCATATTGCATTATCAAAATTTACTTGCTAATCAATGACTAACACAATAGCCTGAATAATAATTACCGATCTATATAAGAATTTTCTTCAATCTATATGCATATATATACCGTGAGGACATGCTTCAAAGCATCACAATGTCATCATGCATTTATGAAAAGATCATTGGTTACAATATGCTTTTTCAACTTCTAATGTTTTCTAAGTCTATATATAGAATCCAAGAAACGGTTCCTGACTCGTAAGGAATATGTGAGGATGAGAGCCCATAAAAATTACTGCTAATTGGTAGGCTAGTAGTTCATATGAATTTTAGTATATAAAGACTTTAGTGAATCTTGCTGGTAATAACCGGAGAGACCTACAGAAGAGCACAAATTTCATCATCTTTCAAATATGTTTGGGTCTGTATCATACACCAAACAACAGTCATAACATTAATGTATTTAACAATATTCAAGAATATAATATTGTTTTAATGTACCTGAGTGCCAAGTTCATATATATAGATTCAAACCCTGACCCAATAAGATTATGTAAACAAGTTAAAGATCCATAGCTGATATGATAGCCTGATGAATCACTGCCTTGAAAATTATAGGAAGCTTATGCTGGAAACACTTCTAAACATTATTAGAAAGAAACTCACCTTTGGCATGCAGTTGTGTCCCGACCATCTCTCTACCCTCAAACACGGGGTACTAGAATTCTAATGACATGAATGACAAAGTCAGATGCAATGCAATTCACAATATCATGTAATCATGAAACAAGTTACAAAACCTTTAACAGCTAAGTACATGTATATGATAAATGCAGAAAAACATGGGTGCCAAGTTAAGTTCACAAACCTTCATCATGTAGATGTAATAATCCTCACAACTATCTTCAACATTAATATAATCATACATGTATTATATGATATGGAAAGCCAAGGGTTAATAGGCCATGTGACAGAGGACTAATATCATGGAAGAGTTATGAGTTGGATTTCTTACCTCATTTTCTCCATGTAGCGTCTCCTGTCTAGTAATATAGAATTAACATTAATCAGAAACTTAATCCATCAAATTCCATATCAGTATTTCATTACACATCAACTATCAGTTAAATAACTGATCTGAAACTTATAATGAAGTGTACAAGTAATGAACACATACAATACAAGTCTTCTATGTTATTGAAAAATGATCGACCTGTATGAATGTCTAGCAACATTAAACATAAATACAAAGTTGATTTTGAGAGGGCTTGTTCCCTTTGCATTGTGAAATACCAGGAACTTAGAAGGGATAGGATGGAATTTCAGATGCTGGTCTTGAACCAATTCCATGATGCAATGCTGTTGCCATCTGGGTGTTATTTCAAGATTCTACATGGAACCCTCATGGCCTACAATCCTCTTGATGACAGGCGCTGGAGTTGGTTCAGTGTTTAAAGTTGTTTTTTGAAGTTCAAATAGAAAGCTTGGTCTCTGGAGCAAACAACAAATGGCAACTGTAACACAGTACAGGAACAGTCGTTTGTGACTTGCAATGGATTTTACTGCACACAGACAAAAAATAAGAACAAATTAGTCAACAAATTGTAGGTCATGAAGTTTATAATCAAGGAAGTACTGAAAGAACCATTTTGATGCATGATACAGAACACTTACCAGTGTTCAAAAACTAAAATGGTCATTTACATCCAAAATCTCTTGACCTCTTTAAACAGATTATTTTTCCCTATTTAATCAAGTTACAGCAAAAGCATGGTCAGTTGCACATCCATCACAGGTTCTTCCTTTGTTTTCCAAGAAATTTATAACAATTACTTTATTCAGTATGGCCTGGAGAAAAACAAAAGTGTTCCTGCATTCAACTCTATATTCTTTCTATATGCATGTGCACAAGCCACATGCAAGAATGCATGTGGTATATGGTATATGGTATACATGCAAGCATGCATGTGGTATATAGAAAGACTGAACCAAAGGTGTATAGCAATTGAATCTAAGACCTATCATACATGTGCCACAGCTAACAAGACAGCAGAGTATTAACACTACTCACTAAACAGAGCACGTTCATGAGTCAGACCAGCTTAGTCAGCTGATATAAATCAGGACCTTGGCTCAATGTTGAGTCACATGTTGGATTCCCCTATTCCTCTTCCTAATTTTTTTCACAAAAGCATAGAACAGATGCTAGATATGAAAGTCTTATTTCTCATATTTGCCCCTCTCACTTTATACATTTTTTCTTATATTTTAGATTTCCATTGCTCAATTCAATATTTCAAAATTTATTTTGTGAGACTAGTTAGTAATATATATTTTTTCAAATCTAACTATACAAAACTTCATATTCTACTAATAAACCCTCTCTACAGTACCATTCTTGCCCGTATGGCTTAAAGTTTTGACCACTAGGCTCATCCAGGTGCAACATGATGAAACCTGGACATTTGCTTAGACCTAGCACTGAATGCAATTGTTGGATAAATAAACTCTTTGTTTGACAAGATGAAAAACATGTGCATTTTGTAAGGAGTAATTTGTGACGATAAGGCATTTTACCTGTATCCAAAATCCAAATATTTGTATTAGCATCATCATATATAACATACAGTAGAGGGTTGCAAGAAATAAAAGCTGACAGTGCTAAATTAGAGAAACAGTTGGCAGATAAAATTCTAGAGGGCAAAGGAACATATGAATATCTTTATAATAATGTTATGCTTATGGACCAACTTGCAAATACAAGTACCGAGTTATATGTCACAAGTTTTTTTTTCTGAGGTCAAAGAAATGTTGCTGAAATTATTTTCCTGCATGTTCATTCATTAAATTAAATCACTTTCCTTCTGCCCATCGAACATCAAGGACAACCCATATATTACAAGCTTATGCCACAATTAACAGGATCTATTAGCAAAAACATCCCTTCAAATCTTTTTTGGTATTAGGTTTAAGTTTAATCCACTTTGTATCTTTTAAGTAGACTGTTAAATCTAGATCCGTTTGACTTAATCAAGGATAAATAAGAAAACAAAATGCATTTTCTAAAATATAAGCTCAACCTGTGCAGCCAAGACAATTGGAAGCAGATAGAATTTTAGTTCCATAAGATTAATGAGAAAGATTGTATCCGTCAACATGCTGGAGTACTTCAGATTCTGTAATCATATTCCTACTTGAAATGGAAACACAAGAGTCTTTTGTAATGTAAATAGGGAAGCCAGATCAGAAGGGATTCAGCTCCATGTTTGCAAAATCTAAGTTTCTTTCAAAAGTTTGCAAAATCTAAAGCTGAAATAGCATTCACATTTCATTTCTGTGGACAAAGTTCTCCAAAATCAACCAATCCTGAACGGGGCAAGCTGAACCAACCCAGTCACCTCTAATTTTTCAATGGTTGACTATCCTAACTCAAGAATTAGTGAATCCAGTCGATATCAACTGATTTCCCTAATTCTAATTTGTCAAAGGATGTTAACCTAACTCAAGAATTGGTTGATGTCAATCAATCTCCACAATCCAACCTGATCCTAGACACCAGCCAATCCTGACTAATTCCAACTTATCCAAAGCTAAGTATGGTGCATTTTGACCTGTCTTGACAACTTTTCAGCTGATCTAAGGTCCGTTGAGACAGATTTCAACTTGAGCATAACTCACCTGACCCAGATGATCTAGTCCAATCCCAAGATTCCAGATTCTAATCCTGATAAGGAAGCCAATCATGATCTTTTGAGCTAAACTATGAAAACACTTGACTACATATTACACCCAATTTGCTTAAAGTTTCAATAAATTTAGCATCTTTGAGCAAAAAGAACAAGACTATTTGTTGTCTTTTGAGCAAGACTAGCATTTTAAATTGACAAAATTCTTATCTAACTAGTTGACAATCATCATATCACTCTTTTTCAAGTGATCTTTAATTTCTTCATCACTAAGATTGCTCACAATACCTAGCACAGCAGAGCCATCAGTTGGGAGCAGATAAACCCATTTGATCGGCTCAAATTCATGTAGATCAAACAATTCTGAGCCAATTCAACTGCGGATCATCTGCTATGTCCTACAGAAAGGACTCATAAGAACAAATAAAGCTAGCAATAGATAAAAAATGAGATCCCAATTTCTCCCTATTAGAAAATATAGATGTCAAGAACCACTATTAATAGAGATGCCAAGATGTACTAACAACTAGGGGTGAATAACATAATGAATAGGAGTTGCACACCATCATTAATATGTTCCTATCAAATTTACAATAGACAAATTTACAGGTGTCCTCAGATGCTGTCAGAACAAAGAAGGGAGGATGAAATAATAAGGTACTTGTTAACTACCATGACAATGTAAAAGAAAATCAGGAATGGGGGAACATTACCCTTAATTCCACAAGTGCTAGTATGTCATGGACAAGCATTTTTAGCTAGCAAGAATTACTGATCGAAAGATAAGTTGATTAGTTCACCTAAACGGCTCTTCAGTGAAGGCAGATAACTGAAGGTGATTGCATTAAGGTAACGAATGACATGAAACAAAATCAGTATATTTTGGGGTCAAAATTAGGAAAAAATAACAATGGAGAAATCTCCATTGCGATGAGACGAGAAGGGAAAGGTGCTTTATTCAGCTGCAGGACTATATAGGAACCCACATGAAGTAGAAGACATGTTCTCATTAAAGGTGTCCCGTCTTCCTGAAAATTTAATCAACTATCTCAAGGAGCTCAAAGAAAAAAAGTCATTTACTCCATATGACATGAGAAATTTTTCACAGCCTTAAAAAAAGAATTTGTTTTCCAAACAAAATAACATGTTTCAAAAGGAAAAAAAGGAGCCTTCACCATGATTTTATTATGGATATTTTTCATAAAACCATACCTATTGTAAAGAATAAGTGCACACATGACAACTTGAGAAACGATGAGTGCCCAAACAATCCTAAATGTGCACTATCTGTCAACACTATACCTTTGCGTATTTGCATGTGATATGAATGCCTTTACCATTCAAAACAGATCCCTGGTATAAGCTATTACCTGATAACCTTTACTAGTAGATGAAACTGGAGTAGAAATAAGTTATATGAGTTTAAGGCATGATTAGAAAAGTTATAATACTGTTTTAGGTTAGGTAAGACTATCTCTGAATACATGAATAAGTAAACTCAACAAATAATTGAAGATTGGGTATTGGATAACATTTGGAAGTCACAAAAAAAGTCCAGTACATCTAAAGTCTTGGATCAAGGAAGATCCCAAGTATGACAAGATATAGGTTCCTGACTCAAATTGCAAAATGGTAAAAATTACTAGTTAACTTAACAGCATTTAGCAAACTAAACTACTTTATGCAATTATAAGAACTGAAGAAACTCCCACTAATAACAATTTTCAACATCTGTAAATCCATGTCTATTGTCTAAGGACAAATCTTAAAGAGGAGCAGACTGAACCTTAGAGACAAGCCTTGTGGAACGCCTAGGTATAACAACCTCATCAGACATTGCTTCCTTGGCTGAACTTTTAGTGCTTTTTAAGTCCATGATTGTCCCACTCATATTTTCACAAGTGTGCTGCCTCTTAACATGGATCTCCTCAGGAAACTCTAAGTTGCTAGATCTCTTAGAGCAATTGTCTAGGGAAGTCTGCACTCCAGAACATCTGCATATTATAAACCATGTTTAATGCTGAAATGCTGTAAGGAATTTAAATGCAACTCGAGCTTTGATCAAACGTCACTTACTCTGAAGTGTCCTTTCCCCTCAATGGTGTGCTGTGACCCTGCATCAAAAGTTACAGTTGGTTGGTTATCAAACATAAAGGAGGCATCAGTTATAAATTCATAAAATAGCAAATAGAGCCCACTTACAATGTCCCACAATTATTATGGTTACAAAAGAAAAGACATAATCCAATGCTATTAAAAAGAACAACATGGACTTCTAAAAGAAGTCAGTGTCCTTTCAGCTTAGATGAGCAGGCAAATAGGATTCTCCGAACAAATGAAAAAAGTCTACTATGTAGTTATTGTGCCATCACATACATTTGTGCATACATGGTTCTCCACTAAAATGCAATAGCTTTAATGTGATAAAAGTTGATAACTATCCTTTAAAAGCCTGACATCTTAAAAGGTACCGAGAATTTAGTGCAAGAAAAAAACAATTACCGATTCATCTTGAAACGTTGAAGTTTGATCCTCAGGATTCACCGTTCCAGAGTTAACACATACTGGTTGATAGAGAAGGCCATCTGCTGCCCCCACCTCTGACTGTGCATCGGCCATTGGACCATCTGGTACCATCGGTCCAATAAGCTGAACAGAATTTGGCAACCCTTCGTGTGGACTGGCATTCTCTGGCAGCTCGTCGGTGGCATGCATAATTGAGTCTTCACATGCTCTACTATAATTATTAAGATGGCCATAATGATTAGTGTCTGTACTATTCTGTATATCCTTGGACATAGGAAGGTTACTTTTATCAGGAACGTCACTCAATGTATTAGATACAGCATTATCTTCAACACCAACAAAATCAATGCATGCAGTCTTAGAAATGAAGCCATCAGTTGTAACAGGAGTAATGGCACCAACATCCTTGTTATCAATAGATTTTGTAGAAGCATCAGGAAGTGATGCATTGCCCTTGACCATTGCAAAGGAAGCATCAATAGAGTCTTGAATTAACACTGTACCTTCTTGAGGACAAGATGCAATATCAGATGCCACGTTGTTTTGAACTGAGTAAGCTGCACAAGAAGATGAAACCACTTGATTCTCCTCCAAACCTGATAAGCCAGCAGGAACACTGCCTGATGTCAAAACAGAAGATCCAGATGTCACCACAGTTGTGTCAGGTGGGTAAGCCTCAGAATTGCAATTCTCACTGACAACTGAACTCAATGATGAATTAGTACAACCAGTGTTCCGATCAACTCCAACACACTGAAGGTGCATCCCACTGTCAACAGATGGTGAAATTTTCATATGATCATCTTCTGGTGAACCACTAATATCTTTTGAAAGAGTCATTGACTCATGATGTTCTGCATTTTGATGGACACACACTTCATCCTTTAAGCTATTGATCCATTCTAATGGACTAGAATTCAAATCAACATATAAATTAATTCCCTCCTCTGACATCACAAAGAATTGAAGTGAAGGGGTTCTTGTAGAAATTTCATCAGCAGATACAAACCCACTTTCCATGGAGTATTCCTGAGGTTTATTATGTTCACATGGTACAGGAATGGTATTACAAGTTCTACTGTTTGTAATAGCATCCTGGGTTAATTTCTCCTCTGGATTTCTATGATCCAACAATTTTCCAGATGCACTTCTGAAACTCGCTTCCTTGCAATCCAGACCATGAAGTCGATTTGTTGCAATTTCTTGGATATCAGCAGCAACACAAGATATTGTTCCCATGTTACAATGCTCAGAAGAAGATCCAAAACCTTCCGTACCTTTATTATTAGCAGGCCATGTTTGTGGCTGCATTAAAAAAATATGTCCTAAATAATATGCACAATGAAATTAATATTAACCAAGTATAAACATACCTTTTCAGATGTTAGATTGACCATATGGCCAATAAGTTTCATTTGATTACCAGTCTGACAGAGTGATCTACTTTCACCTGGAATTTCACTAACGCTAGAAGACCGTCCATGTATATTAACCATAGAAGAATTTGATCTTCCAAACAGTCCTACAAAAAATTTTCTGGATGTTGATTAAAAATAATTCCTTTGGCACTTTGGCATGACTATAGCAAAATTGCAAATTTCATGACATATGACCTTTACCTCCGGCTGATTCGTCCAGAGAAATGAATGTTTGTTTGACTTTTGTTTCTAATACAAATGATTTTTTGGAAATTCCATCCTTAGAATTAGTTGATTTCTCCAGTGATGATGCTGAACTGGCATTTCTTTTCTGCGAAAACATTAGATATGTATTTAACAAATTTAAATTGCAACTAGACTGCCACCAAGTTTATATATTTATGGAGGAATTTTATTAACTATATGGTAATCTACCTTAAACAGTGAAACCAGCGACTTGGCTAGTTGAGCATGGCTTCTATTTGCAGGAAGATCATGCTGCTTGCACAATTTCTGAAGTTCCTTTCTCGACTTTTTGAGATAGAAGTTTAAGTTCTGATAATCCATCATCTCGACTTTACACTTCCAAAACAGCTAGTCCCAATAATTCCACTTTTATGTCCAATAAAACTGAAGAGAGAAAAAAATCAACATAGTTACAATTTTTTAGTATACAGCTGGAACTGTATACCCAAAACAAGAAAACCAAGCAGTAAATTAACACCATTTTCTAAAGAACATGGAGGAGAGAAACAAAAGCAAGGAAAGCATGTTCAGTCAATTAATTGCAAGAAAAGTTATAACCAGAAACAACACTGTATCAGTTTTATTAATAACTTCAAAAAGAAAAAGAAAATGGACACACACACACACACACACATATGTGTGTGTGTATGTGTGTGTGTGTGACGATGACTGACAAAACAGAACAAGATTGCTCGTCAGATAGTGAGTAGAATTTCAACAGTTAGCATCTCTATTTGATTCTCATGGTCCTTTGAAAGGCTTTACATAATATCAAGATGCAAACAGATTGTTTTCCACATAGATATGCACTTGCTGACCACAACAATATTTTCTGTTCAATACTTCCGTTCAATGTATTAGATCCAAGGAATAAAATATAAAGTGCAAGCAGAAACCAAGCAGGCGTGCATAAACTCATATATTTGAGTAATTGACAACATGCTTAAGAATGAAAAGGCGAGTCTGGCATCAGGATGAGGTTGTTATTCCTTTGTGACCTGGGTAACCAGGGTTTCAGTCATGCATTGACCCTCCCAAGATGTCGCACTGGTGAGAGAGCAATGTGGACTGGGCCACCTATTTATGTTAATTCTCAGGACTGGAATTGCTCTATACTCCAAAATAGGTCTTCCTTCAAGGGCATCGTTCGTACCACTTTGCGGCCAAACCAACAGAGCCACTCAGTTCCATAGTAGATAAGAAAAGAAAACAAAGATGAGTATGTATGACATCTTCTAATTGACAAACGACATGCAAATACAACTGCACGCTGTCCCCCAGATGGATGCAAGTGAAGAAGCTGCAAGTTTTGAACCTAACTCCGAATCCCATCTCGCAAATCCAGTAAAAAAAAACATAGCTATATATCGAAGCAGCTACCAATTAAAGAAGAAATCCATGAAAAATCAAACAGAAAGCTCAGAATCGATCATCAAAGATCGAACCAAACTTGCAAGGCCTGGAATCTAAGAAGCGGAAAGAAAGGGCGGGCTAGGGTTTGGGATAGGTGGGGTTAGCTCGGTACCTCTTCGACACGAGGAGTCTCCAGAGCTCCGTTCATCTGCTGGGCGCTCGCGATGATCGTAGGGATAAGCCGGAAGAGAACCACCGAGAGAGAGAGAAGAGACGCGACGAGAGGAGAGGCGAGAACAGGGAAGGATTGCTCAAAGGCGCCGGTGGAGATCGATCGATCGATCGAGGGAGACCACTTCATGTTGATCCGGGTTCGGGTTCACCGCATCGAGCCCGATCCATGAGATCGCTCTTGTGTTTTCTTGGATTCAAGAACGGATGATAGCGGGTCGGATGTTTTTTATGAGATTAAAATTTGATTAGGGCCATCGTAATATTTGTGCATAGCCCGTGATACGAGTCGAGGCCCAACGAGAGTCGGGTCGGATCATGTCTATTAACCCGACCCGAACTGTAAGCATATGTAGTAATTTGGCGATGTAACGTGTGAATAATCTTATTTGACCGGACGAGATCCACTAAGACGGAGTGGGTATCCTTCCAAGTGAATTAGTTTGAAGGTCCACTAAGATGGCAGCTACGCACGTGACGCGGCCTCGTGATCTGTAACGGGTCTTAAACAACCGGTGCACCGTTACCCGATGTGATGGAAACAGTGTTCCACGCCCGCATTTTTATCGGAGGAAACTTTGGGACCCATTGACTCCTCCAATAAAGACACGGGTAAAAGATTCGAGTTCGAAGCTGGAAAAATATAGCAACACCTGCTCTATTTAGACCTAAAGACCCGCGTTCTTGGAAGCCACGTTGGGCCCAGTTCGACTCCTCCAATAACGCCATAGGTAAAAGATTGGGGTGTGAACGAAGGTTAAAATAAATAATTGAAACACTCTCCAAAACAATACCAATAACATCATATACCCGCTGACGCACCGGCTTTCTCGTAGAAGATTTCGGGTCGAGGGTCGAATCCGCCAATCACAAAACAGGTAGAGTTTTTTGGTACCAAACATCTTACCACAAATAATTTTCACTCGCTTCTTTGGCCTTCGGAGGTAACGAAGATCCGCTCCTCCCAATCGAAATAGTCTACCCGAATCATTTACCGCTTTATTCACAGGAGAAAAAGGCGGGTCCCATGGGAACCACCGGGTTCGTTTCCAATCACAACACAGGTAAGTGACGTGTCTCTCTTTTTGTCGTCTTCGCCCTCGAGATCTACGAGCCTCTCCCCCTCGGCATCCGAGGTGGCGATGGCTCATTCAACACGGCAAACAAAGATGAAGAAGCTTTTCACCATTAATTTTTAATCTCCTTTATATTTAATATAATTGAATTAGACTTGGGAGACATCTTTTCGGCCGTCGGTTGTATCGGTAGATGATTAGATCATTCCAACAACTAATATTATTTTAGAGGGGAGGAAGGAAAGAGAAAGATTTTGGTGAGGTCGGTGGAGATCTAACCTAAGAGTTGGTGCACACTTAGACCTGATTCAAATTAAATTAATTATTTTTAATTTTAGATTTTTTTTTTCTAGTACTCTTTGTACCACTAATTTGTTCTTCTGTTTTAGTTGTAGTGCTTAATTAACATTTCATCTACTTTTACTTAATTTTAACATGACATATTTTTAATTTATCTTATATAATAAGTAATAAATATTTCTCCTTTTAATTATTTCTTTTCCTTCACAAAATTAGCATTATAATTGCAAATGGCATGGAAAAAACAAGCTTATTTAGCACATGGTAGGACGTCTCAATCTCTCCTCATTGTGATCATTTCTCCCACCGACTCCCTCTCTCTCTCTCTGTCTCTCTTCTTGGTTATATACACCGCCAATCGCTCATTGAGCGCCCTCTCCGCTTCTTGCTCTTGCTGTTCTGAGTCATATCAAGCGCAGCCAAGATGGTGACGGTGAACGGGGACGCGGCCGGGCTTGTGGTGAGCTTCGGCGAGATGCTGATCGACTTCGTGCCGACGGTGTCGGGGGTGTCGCTGGCGGAGGCGCCGGGGTTCCTGAAGGCGCCGGGGGGAGCGCCGGCCAACGTCGCGATCGCGGTGGCCCGCCTCGGCGGCCGCTGCGCCTTCCTCGGAAAGCTCGGCGACGACGAGTTTGGGCGCATGCTGGCCGCCATCCTGCGCGACAACGGCGTCGACGACTCCGGCGTCACCTTCGACGCCGGCGCCCGCACCGCACTCGCCTTCGTCACCCTCCGCGCCGACGGCGAGCGCGAGTTCATGTTCTACCGCAACCCCAGCGCCGACATGCTCCTCACCGAGGCCGAGCTCAACCTCGACCTCATCCGAAAGGTGTTCCACAGGCGACCGAATCTTGGCTAGATCTCGTTAAACTTAGCTTCGACTGACCTTAGATCTGTGTGTCCCCACAGGCGAAGGTGTTCCACTACGGATCTATAAGTCTGATCACGGAGCCGTGTAGATCTGCTCACCTGAAGGCCATGGAGGTGGCGAAGGAGGCAGGAGCGCTGCTGTCCTACGACCCCAACCTCCGGCTGCCGCTGTGGCCGTCGGCGGCGGAGGCCAGGGAGCAGATCCTGAGCATATGGGATGCGGCCGACATCATCAAGGTGAGCGACGTCGAGCTGGAGTTCCTCACCGACACAGACTCGGTGGAAGACGAGGTGGCGATGCGGCTGTGGCGACCCAGCCTCAAGCTCCTCCTCGTCACCCTCGGGGAGAAGGGTTGCAAGTACTACACTAAGGTAAAGCCTATCTCTGCTTCTTCATTCCTTTAATGGCAGAATGACGAGGAAATTTAGACTCGAATCGACTTTATGGTTTCATAAAATTCATTCCTTTAATTAAAATCAGTATAATTAAGAAAGAAGACACGAAGCAAAACCAAATCAAGATGATATGAATCACAATTCTTATTGTGCCTAAGATCTTATAATCTCTGTAGGAACGGTGGCTACATTTCTTCTAAGATTTCATTCAAGAGTTACTGTGTATTTGTCTGCTTTTCTTTGAGATCTCAAAAAATAAAATGGATCTTTTTTCTAGAATTCTTATAAGAGATTTAAGATTGAGTTTGAATTAACTCATGAGAATTTATATCTAAAATTTAGTTTGATACTTCGGTCGAGATTTGAACTCATCGGTTTTCTTGAATCCAGGACTTTCATGGCAGCGTCGAGTCCTTCGCCGTCAAGCAGGTAGACACCACCGGCGCAGGCGACGCCTTTGTCGGTGCACTGCTGGGGAAGTTCGTCGAAGACCAGTCGGCTTTGCAGGTCAAGCATGCCATGCTTCATTTTCTTCCACACGAGCTTGCCTGCCATTAGAACAGTGATGGAAAGAGGCTGATTCATGTGTTGTGTTGCAGGACGAGAAGAAGCTGAGGGAGCTGCTAAGGTTCTCCAACGCCTGTGGAGCGATCACCACCACCAAGAAGGGCGCCATCCCCTCTCTGCCCAACGTATCGGAAGCCATGCGACTGATGGAGAGGCCATAAGAAATGCTTCGATTGCTGTGTTTTGATACGAGAACTCTCTCTCTCTCTCTTTTTGCCTTCGCTGTGTTATTGTTTCTTCCACCAGCTTTAATCTGGTGGCTGCAATTTGTTTCTGCTGTGATGTTCTCGTCATTAATCTCATTAAACTGCATTGGTGATGGTTTTTTTCCTTCATCTCTTTATCTTCTCGAACCTGCTCACATATGTTTCTTCTGGCAGAGCATTAAAAGCTTAATGGAACTATATGATATCGTATGCACAAGATTTATATATGTTGTTTTGGAAGATTCATGATAATGACTCACTCCCATATACAAAGTTTATCATGAATAATAGGAAAAGAAATGTTTTTGTTTTCATTCGTAGACATCTATCTATATTATTGATTAGAAGAGGCACAGCAATTACCATCCACCATATTGAAATATTCATATATCTTTAAAATCATCGATCCTAAATAATTGAAATATTATGGTCTTGTTGTTGCAGATTTTGCTATCAGGATATTATCGATCAAGAGAATTTTATGTAGCTTGCAAAAATAGAACAGACAAGGATCAAGCATTTATCAAGATCAAGAACCCACCACTGGATTAGTTGGATCAAATACATTTATCGAGCCTGAAGTATCACATCACATACCAAGGAAATATATTAACATTTGATTCTGAGATTGGTTCAGGACACTGGATAAAGGTTTCACATTAATGTTTTGAAGGATTAATCACATTCAACAATGGCAGAGCAAACACAGGCTGCCTTGTTCCTACTCTAATTGCAGGGCTGATACATGACACACACAACATAAGAAGCTTCCATATGTACAATTTTCATGAAATCGGGACTTGTTCGATAGCTTAACACAGACAGTGCACTCTTATGGAGATAGAACCCACATTCATTTCCACCTGCATAGCACAACTCACCAATATCAGAGGTGATTTGGCAATGAAACGGGGAACGCTCTCTGTTCTTCGGAAACTCATCATTCGAACTCCTACACCTGCAAAAGAATGTTAAAATGGGATGTCAACCGTCTTGAAGAATCAGCAAACAAACAGAATTAGTAGACCCAGATTCCAGAAGCAATATATTAAACGCTGCAAAAATTGCAGTCTTGAACCAATTTGCTCACCTCCACTCCACATATAGATATGATTATGGTATATGTGAGGCTTAGATTTGTTACCCTGACAGTTGTTGATCAGTTTTTAGATAGAAACTTATTTTGAAACTTGGTTTTGAATCTTGCATTGCATGAGGGCAGGCTGCTAATTTGAGAAAGTTGATGAATTTGTGATTACTGCATAGTTGATGACTAATCTATTCAGAACATCCAAGTAATGTGCCATTTCTTCAAAGTGAAATACCACTAGCACATTTTGTTTTACTCAATTCATTCCTCAAATATTAGAATTTTCAGTAACTAAGGACAATCATCATATTGAGATCTTGCATCAAGTATTAACTGAAAGTATCTGCTCAAGACTCTTTAACAATATCATCTAATGCTAAACAAAGGCAAGTTCATCTAATGTTTCTGTTAAGGTTCATAATTGTTATATGGTACATGGTCGATCCTAGGTGGTTTTGGTACAAATTCCAACTTTAGAGGTCTATCTACATAAATATAGATATGTCGTGGGGTATATATTTATGCAGGATATCCAGTGTGCGGAGATCACATTTTTATGCACCAGTATCATAACATTCATATTAGTTCTCGGGCAAACAGGTATACACCGGCCAGCACAGTTTGTCATCCATTAAAAAACCATGCAGAAAAGGATATCATTTTCATAATTATAGCATACCTGCCGCCTCCAACGGCTTTGTATAAAGTAGCAGGAACGTGCTATCACATAACATGGTATGAGAAAGCCAGCAAACTGGAGAGTTACCTGCAAATGAATAGCCAAATATTATGGATTTCTAACAGTTGTGAAACAGCAAGAGCACTGACAAATGTTTGAATTGCATTCATTATGAGACAGGCTTGCACCAATAGCACATCATTATCTCAATGGCACCAGACTTTGCATAATCACAGAGCTCAATCTAAAATTATCATCTTTTCACTTATATTACAAGCATCTTGCTAATGTTTGGGACAAAAATAGAACTATAACCTTCGTACTGCAAACAGAAGAACCTCCAGCATTCTAACCACCTAAATGACATTTCAAGGTACCATGTATTCAACCTCTAATGAAAGGAAAAGAAATGTACTAATTGTTTTCAAACTATGCTCCTTTTTCAAAAAAAGACTAAGCAATATAAGTATGTAATTGTTCTTTTATGAAAAATCAACTATTAGTCAATCTGAATTCTAAGGTTTGGATTTAATCCTACCAATGCTCATTGTTACCATTGATATATATACTCTTATAATGTGACAATGTTGTCTGGAGATAAAACCCTGGCCATTCATCTAACGTTAACAACATGGGCCAGATTCAATTTCGGCTAATAAACTTACAGTAGCTTCTCCCAAAGATAAATTGCAATATGATAAACCAACTTAGTATTACAGAACATCAATATTTTAAAATCTTTGTGTAAGAATTGCAAAAAGTGCTTCCATGTGATTGCCACATACCTTCAAAAAAAAAGAGAAAAACAAAGGCTCACTTGGCATAAGGAGTAATATTATGACACATTGTAAATAAAACAGGAGTGAAAATATGAAAAGAATATAAGATAAGAATCCAACTTTTGCATAAAAGCTTTTAAAATCAACTAAATCAAGAGAAGCAATCATCCACCAAAACATGTATCGGTCAATTTTACGGAGAATCCAATGCATACATCACTACTGTGAAACCAAGATTAGTATAATATCAGGAGATGTTAGGTTGGACTGATAAAGTTTAAGTAGGTATACTATTAGCAACTTAAGCTAAGGCATTTTGGTGATCACATAAATAAGGTCAAATTATCCACGCTATTGGGTCAACCTATCAAGTCAAAACATAACAGAAACTACCTAATTAAAGAGGAAATGGTTTCTTTAGGATTTCCACCAAAGTGCCAGCAACTACCTAATTTTGCACTGTGATATTATGCTGATGAAAACCTGTAATTGTTTGTGTCCTAATTGGAACTGTCTTGTTTGGTTGGAAAAAAAAAAAAAAGAGTGAGAAATGTGACTCTTTCTATTGTTTGAACTGATTCACAGTAAGTGTCTTTTAGTTATAAGAATTAGCATAATTTAACATTCATACTTTAGAACATATAGTAAATCATCTTACATTGAATAATGCTGATATGTCCTGCATCATTCCAACTTCCTTCATAGCACTAAGAATTTGGCGAACAAACAATAGCACCATCAACTGTAACAGATCACAAACCATTTTGACTTCCATACTTCATAGATACAAGTTAAATAGCACTTGTTGAAAATATAATGATAGATCATACAATTAGAGCAACGGTGTGGCAACAAGCAACTCCACGGGCACTTGCGGCTGCATAATCTTCATATTCTGCATTTAGTAACTCCTGCTCTGCAGCAGCAATGGCAAGGAAATGGGAATCATGAAGATCAAACCGTGAACCCCAACTTTGCCTGAAAAAAACCAGTGAATAAATAGGTAATGACTGACGAATATGAAGAAGAAGAACATATCACTACTATAAGTAAAGTTAGTACAATTAGTATCAAGAAACTAAATTGGAACAAATGCAATTCTCTTAATGGAATCGCATGAAATATGAAATTAACATAGTAGACCCAGTTCATGAGTGTTCTCCAAAATGCCCTTGGAACTCTCTATTGGTGACCAAATCATTCAAACAATAGCTAGGATGACAGATGAGATAGACTCCGAAATCACAGAACCATTTTTTTCAAATCAAACATGGCGAGTAGTAGTTTTTTTAGGATGATGCAGTTTGGTGCTTCGATTAGTTACAATTGGGAGAACTTAATAGTCTTCCCTCTTCTCTAAAACATGACAATGATGTCCTTAAGCTTATGACATATATGCCCTAGTCATTATCATCCTAAATGCTAATAACAAAAAATGAAAATGCAGAATACAACAAAATAAAATGGAAATCATAATCTCTGATAGATGACCTACTTCTGTAGCAAAAAAGAACACACAGAATGGTACATAAAAAAATCATGGACACAAGATCAAATAGACAACACACTTAAATGTAAAAAAGTCTAAAAGCCAAAATCCAGGGTTACCGAGCATATCTTGTGACTAGATTCAAAACTATAACATGTGGTTCACTAGAATTATGTAGAAACTTTTATGCAAATTGTCATTAACTATTCAGGAAGCGATGCAAGCAATGCTGCATGAGAGAGTAAAACAACATTGACAATAATGGTAAACGCCATATAAAAGGTTCGATTAAAATTTTTCTTTAATCCTAAGTTCTTGCATCTACTTTGTTGTGAAATCTTAGCAAGAAAACCTCCTGTAGTTCCTGGCTGGGTGACTACATATATTAATATGGTCACATAAACATTGTAAACATTTCCGATGATGGGAATATTGAGTTGCCTGTTCATGACAGCTCCAAAATAGTTTCTTTAAAATTGTTATTTGGTCCACGCAAAAAAATTCCTAGTAGCTACTGAAAGACATTAATCCCACAATTCACCTTAAAATTGATTGGTGATTTCAAAATTCATAGACTGACTTAACATGCATTTACGTTAGAACAAAAAATACAAACAGTCAAGAAGTACCTGATATCGACAGCCATTACATCAGGACTGGGTCTATATGGGGCAGCATAATTTGGGGCAAAAACCTGTTATCGCAGAAATACTCCAGTAAGTGCTTTACCAGCTAAAGGTGAGAATAATAAATCCAAAAGAAGTTTCTAGTGTCATAAGGTTACCAACATAATTTGGGGCATGCTTCTCCTATATGAACACTCAGATATTTTTTTAACCTAGAAGAGGAGTGTCATAATTGACATCAGGTCATTTGCCTGACATGAATCACTAGTCATTAAGTATATGGGCATACACTTCTACAGTCATTTTCCTTCTCCTAATTTGGCTTAGGGCTAAACTTACTTCATCTTGTACACAGAAAACTAATATTTACGGTAAGGTCTTCTTTGAGAATTCCTTTCATATTCATGGTAGAAATAGTACATGACAGTTCCCCTTACTCAGTGGCTTGTGTGAAAGGTAAACTTTTGACACAGGATAGACTGGCACAGAGAGAAGTTCTGCAGCAACCCAAAAGTATTTTTAATTAAATTGAACCTGGAAGTATCAATCACCTATTTATTCAATTCAAATCACTGATGCTCAAGGAACAGAACCTGAAATTGTGTAAGGTTAGTAGGAATCTAGGATTGAGGGAAAGGATGTCTGGCAGATGTTGTTTCTAACACATGGATTGAGAATTGGCAGATGGTTTAGGGAGAAGATGGTTATAGTGGACATAAAATCCTACCACAGAAATTTCCATTCAAATGATTTCGGAGCATTTATAGTGGTTGCTGCTGAAAAACACTCAGATACTTGTCTAAGTTGCAACTTAAAAGATAAGGATGTATGACTACAATATCTTGAGACTACTCATAATACTAGCAATTGATTTAGTATGCCCCATTTAACACAATCAGGTAGGCCACCTTTAAAATAACTATTGGAAAGATCAGGCCAATTTTACTAAGTCTAAGCCCTTGAGGTGATCTACGTCAGGCTAGATGTGAAAGATCGTCAACATAGGTTAAGGTTGCACAAATATATGTCAGAAGAAATTAAGTAGGAGGCATTTTGCATGCATACTAAAGGGAGAAATGCAGCTGCATCCAAGCTCTTCTTTTATTTTTTCCTAAAAGAATAAACATTAGGAATACAAGGCTGCATCTAACTTTATGCATCCCCCTTTTGCCCACAACATATGTGCAGATATCAGCATCTTGAAGCACAACCTGGTTGCAGATTTCACAAGTGATGTTTCCTTTCTTGTTGCACCATTTCTGGATACATTTCCTGTGGGCAAACTGCATACAAAGGCCAAAGTAATAACTCAAATGATTCCCAGTATTATTTGACATAAAATGAAACAAAAGAAGATTTGTGACCACACAAAACCTAATTCCTAGAAGATCACATGCTTGAATGAAGAACAAAAATTGACCTATCTTTAGAAAAAGGTCATTCATAGGTAGATACAAGAAACTATAAGAGAAATGATGAGAGAGAGTGAGGAGAAAGACTGATATATAGTTTACAGAAACAATACAAAAGAAAAAAGTCATATGTTTAGTTAAGTTTAGAATAATCAAATCTTTATTTATAGAACTACAGTGCATAGTGAATTATCCTCAGTAACACCATGTTAATTCCATATTTATTTAGTCAATTATCCTCCCCAAATTTCTTGACTATGCTTGGACTAGTAATATTTTTCCTCACTAGGGCACAATGGCAAGAAAAGATTCATGCAGCCAACTGCAACTAACTGGGACATTACCGGTTGTTGTTGTTGTTGAAGCAGTAATTGTTGTAGCATTGACCGTAACGACATGTACGACAGTCAACCAAAAAGCTCTACTCATTTGGAGACCTTAAAAGAGGAATTGAATGCCAAAATCCACAAGAAAAAAAAGCATATGAAAAATTACGTAAAACTATATTATGAAAAATGGAAATTATAAATCAGAATGTACAAACCCCACAAAAAAAGTTTCAATTTTTATTATAAAAATAGTAATCCTTCGGAAAAAAGAAACCTCCCCCCTTAAAAAAAACTCAACTTTATTATACTAAAAATCATAAAAATGGGGATAAATTCTGGAAAAGGATTGCGAGAATGGGGAAAGGACAAAGAACAACCGAGAGAGAGAGAGAGAGACCTTGAGGGTTCCATTACAAGCGCAAGGGGCTTCCATGTCGCACTCATCCCCTTCCTCTTGGCATATCCTGCACTCTATCATTTCACCTCCCTTGTTCTCCTTCTTCTTCTTCTTCTTATTATTATTATTATCTGCATTGGCCATCCTGCTCACCGAGCAACCCTCCTCCACCAACCCGCCGTCCCCTACCGGCGACACGATGCCATTCTCTGGCTCGAAGCACGCCGCCGTACCGATGATCCTGTCGACGCACACCATAAAATCCCCCACCATCTCTCTCTCTCTCTCTCTCTCACTCTCTCAGTGCTCTCTGTTTCGGACAAAGAAGGGAGGAAAAAGATGAGAAGAACAATAAATTAAACTTGAAATAGAAACACTGGATCGAGCCAAGTGAAACACCAAAACTACCCCTCCACCCACTGCCTCCGCCTTGAATTTATTTGACCATTTTGCCCCTCATAATATAACACTGAAAAGGAAATATATATATATTAGTAAATGCACCAAAACCCTTTAAATATATTTAAGCTATATATATATATATTAGTAAATGTATTTAAGAAATAATATAGTCATAGTTATTTTTTGACGTTATTTACATGAATGAAACAATCAAGTCTTGAGGTATTGCGAGGTTAAAGTTGAAGAGACGAGTGTGCAACTCTCAAACTCTGAGATGTTGTCAGGGTCAGGTCATTTGCAGAGATGTCCATTAACCAGAGTTAAAGCAAGTCAACTCCTCGATGTGGAAGTCCATCATGGGTGCTGTGTTGGACACCTTTTATCCACTGCAATCAATTTTTCTAAATAATATTTATATTTTCTAAATAATTTTTCTAAAGCAAGTCAACTCCTCAATATATTATGTTGGACACCTCTTTAAAAAAATTCATGAAATTTTTTTATCAGTTTTAAATTGTTATGGTATTTTTATTTAACTCGTTTACAATATTTTTTTAATAATATTTAATATTTTTTTATTAAGATATTAAAAATATTATAAATGATATCAAGAAAGATATTAAGTGGCAACACATTGTTTACGATATAATATAGTTAAAGCTATAATAATTTATTTGGTTAAAATTAGAAGTTCATTTGAATCATTTATAGTATTTTTAAATAGGTTTTAAGGTGTTTTAATTTTTATTTTTTTATTTTGGTGATGTTGTTTCTAAAATGTTATAAATACTTATCTGAATCCATTTATTAAAATCAATGTTAAATCAAAATGAGAAGATTTATCCACATTATATATTTTTTATATTTATATTTTTTTATTTTATTTATTTATATATGTATAGTGTTGTGCATAGACAACATTGCCTCAGTGTGTATCCGTTTATAGCTCTTCCAAGAGAGGACAAGTTGGATAGGCATGGGATAAAGAAAGTAGTTGTGAGTTTGGTAGCAACAAGACAAGGAGATCATTTTTATATGCCATGTAAGAGTGGTAATAAGTAAGATCCCACAATCACATTAAAATCATATTTTAGAAATAAGCCTTGTGTTTACTACTACTATTAGAAAACTTAAAAAAGACAATTAATTACTTGTCCAAAAAAAATGTTGGATAATCTTATAATTATTTGTAATTTTTGAAAAAATAATTACAAATAGCGAATAAAGATTCATATAATTGATGTTACAAAAAGATTTTTTGTTTTATGAAAAATATATTTTTTTGATGTTTGAAATTAAAAAAACCATTATATTATTATTACCATTGCATCAAGTCATAATTTCCATTTGGACTCCCTCATGAATTTATTATGTAGAAAGTGGATGCCACTAAATGATCGATTTAGTTTGTTTTCTGAAGTATGAAAACACATGATCCAACAAAGTATGATTAATGGCTCTCCCATCAAATAATAATTTCTTTTATTTGTTCTAAGAAAAAGCCCACAAATCTTGAGAAAAAAGAAAAGGTCACCACCATGGCATCATTGCAAAGTTAGGTCAGTGACAGCATGAAAGCCCCACATTGTCCTTGTTAGGTGCACCAACAAGTCTAATGGCTCATTCGAGCCCCACCAAATGCTGCAATTATTAGTGAAAAGGACATGTCATTTGAGCCCCCTCCCTCCCACCATCGGCATGCAATTAAAGATGAAAAGTGGCAAGACATTGGAACAATAAGTTTACGAGATATAGTTTCATGTTGAATTTTATGTTCTTGTATTATTATTATGAACACACCATTCCACTGTATAACTGTGATGTCCACTATATATACTCCTCTCCTTTTCCTTACTCTATTCATTCACCTCATGCATTTGACTTTGTACAAATCCTTTTGATCCTCCTTATGTTATCTCTTTCGTCTTTCCTTCTCTCCATGCATTATTATGTTGTAATATTTATATTATTAATTCTTAATAATATTCATTCTCTTAATACTATTTAATAATTAAAAATAATATTTAATTTTGAGATCATAATATTTAGATTGAATCATTTATATATAATGTAGGATTAAATCGGAGTGTTACATTAATATTATTTATATTGATTAATGAGGCATTAGCAAAAAGACACGAAACCGACGATGAGAAGGGACGGTGACGATGTGACTTGATTCGAAACCAACGGTCGAGATCCAAAGATCTCTCGCTTGATTTAAACAGGGCTCGGGCTCGTGTTCGCTCTAACCGACTTCTCCCGATCAACTTCGAGCCTTCTTTGGGTCTTCTTAAGGATCGAGAGGGGGACGGCATCACCGATCTGCTCGATCGGAAACGCTCGCGATGGTGGGCATCTCCTCTTCTTCCTCCTCCTCCGATTCCTCGAAGTCTTTGCGATCGTGGATTGATTTGGTCCCATCTTGCGCTTCGTCGTCCGGTTTTAGGGTTTTTCTTTTCCGATCCCATTGGTCTTCTTGATCTCATGTCGTTGCGCTCAATTGCTTCGTTTTTGGTGGGTTCCACATCCTCCTTGTTCTAATCGGAGGTGCCGGTCGTGCGGTGGTGTCGCGATTAGGTTTTGGTTGGAGCAGATTTGTTTCGGAATCGAACGCCGTTTCTTTCTTGCTTGTTGTTGTTCTTTCAATTGTCTTCGTCGAATCAACGATGTTTATGTTGTTTCTTTCATCGAGATCTCACCATGTTTCTTCTTTGATGAGATAATTCTGTTTCTTTATCCTTCTCCTTCGATTAACACTTCTTTTTCCCTTCTGTGCATATATCTGTTTTCAAAAGATTTGCATATCCTGCTTACTGCTTTCAAGTGTAAGAAGATCTTCACACGTCTTGGACTTTTCGGTTTTATGGCTAGTGAAATATTTTGCCTGAAGTTGTTTCTTCTATCGAGATATATTGGCTGTGTAATAATGGGTTACGATTCTTTTTTTATTTCAGGTTCTTCTGCAACCCGACCCGTTTCTCAATGAGCTTACGAGTATGTTTGAGCGCTCGACAGAAAAAGGATCCGTCTGGGTCACCCTCAAGCGCTGTAAGTTAGTAGGCTCCCTTTTTGTTCATCTGCTGCTCTTGTTCTTTTGTTGTTGCTGTTAGAAGAGAATGTATTGTACTGATTCTCGTGAAAACTTGATGTGGCTTTTGTAAATAGCATCTATGAAATGCAAGGCGACGAGGAAGAAAATGGAGACTGCTGGGGAAACAATTGAATATAGATGCCTTGTTCGTGCAACTGATGGCAAGAAGACCATCTCTACTTCGGTAAGCTCTCAGTTAACTGACATTGTTTTCTTTACCTTGGAACATTTTATGTTAGTGTGTTGCTATGGAAGTGAAGTTATTTAGATTCTCCCTGAGCGAATAGGGTAACCATTTTTAACTGTGTAAACATTGTCTTCTATATCCTTTGCTCTCCAGTAATGTAATAATCGATTCAGTTTGAAGTACACCTGCGAGATAAACCTCATGCAGCGTTAGGAATTTGTAAAAGCATATTTTACTGGAATAAATAAAAAAATAAATAGGCTGTTACTGTAGTGATATCTTTGTGATATATGCTGGTTGAGTTGTTGCTTATGCAATGAGCAGTAGGAATCTTGTGTGATTTTACATGTGAATGTGATCATGATGCATGTCAATGTGCATTACACCTTTTGACTTATAGTGTTACAGAAGTTCATGAGCCATGGTAAGCTACTACGATATTTTAGTTGCAACCTAGTTCTAGTTAAGTATTGAGTTAGAAGTTGTAATTGTGATATCAAAGTTGCTAGTGAGTCAGAAGGCTGTTGATGTTGGCTTGGGCCACAGGTATTCATGATTGTTTAAGGGTAAAATTAGCGTGAGGTAATTATATAAGTTCTTTCTTAACATCTTTCATTTTCTTATAACCTTATATGGTAGTACAATTTGCGTGTGGTAATTATATCGGTTCTTTCTTAACATCTTTCATATTCTTATAGCCTTATATTCGTATGTTCTCGCTTAATTATGCTTGTTTTTACTGAACTTTAAAATGGAGATTATTAGTAATGTCACTGTCTATTTATTTGGAGTTTCATTTTTTTACTACATTTGATCTTTTTTTTCTCATTCCTTATATATCCACCTGAAATCTTATTTTTGCTCCTTAACAATAATCCTTATTTTTGTCCTCCTATTACTTTTCCCATCATCTTTTATTTATGCTTCAATTTCTTTATGTCATTTTTCTTCTCTTTCAATTTTTTTTCTTTTTCTGCAATCTGTAAGTAATTTGTGTTCTGGACGACCATTAGTGTGGTGCCACCTTGGAGCTCCATTTGAGCAAATGATTATCTACTAACAATGACCTTCATTGAGCGTGTTATAGCTGTTTCAATATGGATGAATGGGGTCTCAATGAAGTGTGTAGATACAGTGATTTCAAGGAAAACTGTAAATATCTGTGAAGGATTATGATAAAAAATGACATATGTCCTAGAGGAGGCCTAAAAGTTATCTAATTTTGGCCAAAATCTCTCTAGAAGCTTGTGAAGTTTTCCCTTGTGCAAAAGGTAAGTGATGGGATGGATTTTGATGCATTAGATAAAGTAATGTCTGCCACTATGGCAATGTGGCCTCACATTTTTGAACCATGCTATATTGATACTTAAGTAATTTAAAAATTATGACTACTGTCTTATCTTACTTACATCAGAAGTAGTAGTTTTATTCTCCTCTTCTTGTTGTATTTGCCATGTTTTAATTGCTGATTTCAGACAAGGTCTCAACAAGATGGGATTTGATGAACTGCACAGATTGGGTTGGGACTAGCTTATCCTAACTAAGATTGACTTGAATGCTTAATATAGTGACAATGATGTTCATGTCAACTTGAATGCTTAATATAGTGACAAAATGAAGTCACCAGTCTTCAAGTCGGCATCTACGCTGATGAATGTTGTTCTTCTTTCGGAAAGTGTATTTATGAAGAGTATCTTTCCTAGCGGTAACTGTATGCATGATTTCAAAATACCATTCAGATGGATTACCTTTTTTAACATAAATTTTTTAATTCTGATTAGGATTTAAAAGGGAATAAAAGTATTATACATTTACCAATAAATGACTTGTTGAAAATATTGACATTCTGTATATCCTAGAGTTGCATCAAATAGGTAAAGCGCACATTCCAAGGATCTGATCTGATGTGGCAAGAGGGGGAAAGAAAAAGAGGGGGTTGCAGAGGAGTACTAGCCCAGGTGCATAAGGTTGCAAACTTTTAAGATAAATAGGGATGATAATGAGAGACCATGTACCATTAGATCATAAAGAATCACAGGGAAAAGTTTTGAACTTTCTGATGTTCAGTGTGCTTCGATCATTCTCTTGCTAAATCTTCTTTTAGGCATAGAGATTTGATGGATTTTCACCCAATTAGTATAACACCTTCCATTGTTTAGATAATTAAGCATTTGCCTTTGTCGTAGAAAGGGCAAACCTAGTGCACGAGATTACTGTCAAGATGGGACATGGGGAGAGGGTCAATATATTTCTGTCAATGCTGGGTTCAGAGAGGATCAACGTATGTAAAATTAATGAGATTTGTCGCTATGACTCAAATCCTTATCGCTTAGATCATGAAGGAGCAAGCTTACAATTCTAGCAAGGCTCGCCCTTAGCATTTGTTTGCGCCATGAGGATGATTTTCATTCAATAGATCTTGGAGTGCCAAGTTGTAAAATTGATGGCTTTGGTAGAAGGACATTGTTGAGCCCCCCAAAAATATATGTCTTTTAGTCAGCCTGGTAGCTGAATCTAAGGTTCTAATATTCTCTCGTACCAGTCTGACCATTGACATGCAATATACCACACATTACTGACGTATTCCAACACTTTAGTGTGTTTTTATTTATATATATATATTTTTTAGTGACATGCTACAGTGTATGTTATGTGTCCAAGAGGACATTGAGAAAGGTTATTGGCCATGCATATAACCTTTTTTGATTGTCACGGTTTTTCTTGTTTGTTTGGGAAAATGATCTTTTTGAATTGATGGCACTTTCTTACTCTTTTTATTTTCTTTAATGGTACTCATCATCTCTTCCTTTGGTTATCAAAGAAGTTGATCTGTTGTTGGTAATGTGTGTTCTGCCAGCTCTCTGCGAGGGATTACCAGAAATTCCAAGCTTCTTATGCGACCGTCCTTAAAGCCCACATGAACGCTTTGAAGAAAAGGGAGCGGAAGGATAAGAAGAAGACCGCTGAGCCCGAGAAGAAACAAGCTTCGTCGAAGAAGAAGTCAGAGCCGTTCAAGAAGCCAGCAGCACCCGCTTCGAAGGCCTCTCAATAATGACAAAAAAGCACATTACATTTTTCTGCTGTTTTGGGAGGACACACCAGAGGCAATTTGCGAAACATTAGAAAGAGTATTTTATTTATTATGTTCTCATCACTGATGATGCTATTAATTTTCCTATCGACTGAAGTTAAAAAAGGACCGTTGATTGAGAATTCTGAATATGAGGGATGCTTCTGGAAAAAACACCAAAAAAAAGTGTTTTCAAGAATATAACTTGTATTTTGTGCAAATAATATGATAAATCGAACATCAATCTCTTCACATTATTTGATCTAAAAATATATCAATCTTCCCAAACATGTATTTTGTGGAGGGAAAGAGAGAGAGAGAGAGAGAGAGCGAGAGGATGAATTGTTGTTGTTTCCGCGGGTGCATGGCTAGTGGCCGGGGCCTCCGGGGCTCGGCCCCGACGGCAGCCTCGCCATCCACGCCGCCACAGCCGCTCTCGCCTTCTCGTACACGCTCGGGTGCGCCAAGTAGCTCTCTCCGTCGAAGCAGTCCGGCGCCGGCCTCGCCGCATCAACTCCTCCCCCAGCGCCCGTCATGACGACGGCCATGATCGAGACGACGATCACCAGCAGCATCGCGCAGGTCCTTCGACACCCCATGCAAGCAGAACCTTCAGCTCTTCCTAACACTGTGAGGCTATAGGTCGAGCACAAGTTTGGATGCATGGGAATGGGATCGAGGAGTATATATAGACACGTATTAGCAAAAAGTCTCACTGCATCGAAGGCTTGGTCAGGTATGAGTTATTGTTGGTGTTGACCGAGCAGAATTGACTGTCACGCTGCGAAGTTGCTCTTCCTCTGCGAGAGCCGATGAGATGGTGGTGACAGCTGCGTTGAATCCGTCTGCAGCAACAAGTAGTAAATTAAATTAGCCATTAGATCTATCAAAGGAATTGACTATGTAACCCCTTGATTTAGTCTCACAGGAGTAAAGTTTTGATATAATCAAAACAAAAATGAGTAAAGACTTGATTTGAAGGTTTGATGAGAGTATAACCATTAACTTAGATTTGGATGAGATGTAGATGGTTGATGAAGGCAAATGTCCACACTTGTTGGGGTTGGTGGAGGTCAAAGACGTGTGCACTTACCGGTTCTTGTTTCAGGCAGTCAAAATGTAGAAGTAGTCAATGATGCAATGGCGCGCGCGCGCGCACACACACACAAACACTCTCTCTCTCTCACTCTCTCTCTGCAGTTTTTATTAGCAGTCGAATTATGGATTGCAGTCAATGATAGATGAGGTATTGACCAGCTAAACTTCCCGTCCAAGCATATGAACCGGTAAACTATCATGACACAAACCTCAGACATTTGGTGTGTGATATTGAGATGTTCTTCCGGCTAGTTACGTTAGTGGTATGTCAAATATCATGCTCGGAGAGATCATACTAAACGATAAGATCTAATTAGATAAAATATATTATAAATATAATTAGATTATAATTATTAGTCAGGAGGGATTCATAATTATTTATTCTAAAGCATCTTCTCTCGTTTATAAATAGACATGATCTCCTAATGACTCAATACGTAATGTTATATTATACATTGAGAGATTATAGATCCTCTCTCATCTTCCCTTAATCTTCATCTCTCCTTATACATAATGTTATATTATATATAATGTTATATTATATATTGAGAGATTATAGATCCTCTCTCATGACTCAAACCTCAGACATTTGGTGTGTGATATTGAGATGTTTTTCCAGCTAGTTACGTTAGTGGTATGTCAAATATTATGCTCAGAGAGATCATCCTAAACGATAGGATCTAATTAGATAAAATATATTATAAATATAATTGGATTATGATTATTAGTCAGGAGGGATTCATAATTATTAATTCTAAAGCATCTTCTCTCGTTTATAAATAGACATGATCTCCTAGTAATGTTATATTATACATTGAGAGATTATAGATCCTTTTTCATCTTCCCTTAATCTTCATCTCTCCTTAGTCCTTATTCCATCGATTTGATCCAATAAATAATAAGAAGAGAGGAGAATATAAGTTTAGTTCTTATTATAGATTAACATCACAGTTTTTTTCCGATTTAACGATGACACACTTGTAGATTAGATAAATATTTTTTTAAATAGTATCAAAAAATATATAATCATAAACTTCGATCAAATACCCTAGATTATAAAAATATGTTAGATCTAATTTGTATTTAGACCTACTTATTGGCACCTTTCATTTGCCAAAAAGTGTTATTTGATTTTGATTATAATGATTCGTTTGTGTTGTTAATCTACATTCCTATCTCATCTTTAACTTTATTCCTCTGTGTTCGTTGCCTGTTTTCAAAGTGGGTGAAACCACGACAAAATTATGTTGCATGTATTTGTTCAATGGGCTATTATCGATAGCTTGTTATCATGACCAATGAGGCTCGTGTGACAATGATAACCATGCGTGTGAGAATTGTTGCTCGTGGATATGGTGGAACACCGATGAAAGTTAGTCGGTAGGTGAGCATAACCATGCATCACAGTGATTGTGGGGTTTCTTCGTGCTAACGCTAGAGAACAGGTGGCATGTGCAGTAGGACGGTGGCGGAGCTATCATCATGGCGACCGCAAGTGACGAACAACCACTGGACCACATCGAGGACTCGCTCATGTGGGCATAGTGGAATGCAACGGTGTCTACGATACGAGAGAAGGTTATATTATGATTGAAGGTAATAATAAGATTATCTTGACAAGATAAATTATAAATACTATTTTAGATTATATTAGAAAGGGCTAATAGTGTTACGATATATAAAAGAAAATATGACATTGATGATATACAATTGCTATGACTTGTTTTGATAGTAATAGTTAATGTGGTATATTATTATATTTATTGGACTTATTGACTTATTTTATGAAAATCATGTGCACTTGTAAAATATTTTTTCAAAAAATTTAAAATCAAAATAGGTAAATTTATTTTTAAATAAAAATTTATTTTATTTATTTTGATTTTAAATTTCTTTTATATCTTACCAATTAATGTGTCCAATGAGATCCTATCTAATTAGGTAAAATATATCATAAATATGATTAGCTTATGATTATAATTATTGACTAATAAAAATAAAATATAATCATAATAGTATTCTTTAACAGATGTCCTCGATGAGAAAAACTCTACTAATTGTTTATCATAAATCCTTTTCTCTCATTTATAAATAAACAAGATTTCCTAAGACTTAATAAGTGATTGTTATAAATTGAGAGAGTACAAATTCTTTCTCCTATTCTTTTAGTTCTTATTTCATCGGTTATAGTTATCTTATGAAAAAAAAATAAAATACAAATTTGATTTTCCTTATAGATCGACATCGTTGTTTCCTTCGGATTTGATGATGGTGTACTTACAGATAAAATAAAGATTTTTTAAATAATATCAAAAGATACGTAATCATAAATATTTTAGTTTTTGACATTAAATTTTTTTTATATAATAATATAATTATAGTTTTTATACTTACACTTCCTACTATAAGATAACGATGCAACTTGTGACTAAGACTATCAATTTCACATAAGAGATAATAAGGTTTAATACAATAAAATGATTAAAATAAAAAAGAAAATAGTAAATAATAATAAATCAATGAATCCTTATGGACTATTTATGAAATTAGGTGCACTTCAATGAACAAAATAATATTTATTATATATTTTATCTACAATAAATGATGAAAAATTTAAAAAGTAAAATTACAATTATGATAATATTATTTATATAACTCTAGGGAATAAAGTAACATTTAATATATTTAAAGCTAAAACATAATATATCATGAATAAATACCAAAAATAAATCTCAATTAAAAATATTATTCTTTATACAAATTTAGCTCACATTATATATTTCAATGTATTTAACATACTAAAAATATTTAAATTAATATTTCAATAAAAAATAATATTCGTGAAGTTAGGTGCACTTCAGTGAACACAATAATATTTATCATATATTTTATATAAAATAAATGAAGAAGAAATATTAAAAATAAATTTTATTAAAAAAACAATATTTTATATAATTTTAGCTAATAAAATGTTAAAAAAATAAATTATGGCCCATGCAGGTCTCGAACCTGCGACCTTCGCGTTATTAGCACGACGCTCTAACCAACTGAGCTAATAGGCCAGTTGATTTTTTATCGAATTCAAGACATGTCATTGTGATTCTTCTAACTTTAAGCGAAAAAGTCTTTTCCCCCTAATTAAGCACAAATATCTCACATTCAATCGCAAACCCAAGCAAGATTGCTCATGTCGGCGACTTCTCTACTCTTTTCGTTCGGGAAGACGATGAACCAAGTAACAATCAAGGTTCATGAACATAGAAAAAGAGATCGCTCTTCACACATGAAACCCCGAAATCCCCACAAGAGTCTACCGCACGTACAATCGACAGAACCATCGATTCCACGTTCGATAGCAAAAGAAGGCAACAAATCCAGAAATGGGATGCATTACCTTCTAATCCACGATGGAAGGGAGGATGATCGCTCGAGATAGATGGGTTTTTCTTCACGGGTTCAGCCCATCGGCTCTCCCTCTTCGCCTTGAGACGATGATGGGATGGGCGAGGAAGATAGCTCATCTGTGGCATCCATATCCAAGGGGGCTGGGATCGGACAGTTGAGATCGTCTCGCGAGACCTGATGCGAGATCGGGCGGTCCGATGGACGTCGACGCGCGCGAGACGAAGGATTCGCCCATAATTGTTCCGGCCAGTCTCACAGCTCGGCTGAGTTAGACCGGGTCAAAAAACCAGCACGAGCCACAACTCGACCTGGTCGAGCCGAGTCCACGGCCGCTATTAGCGCATGCGCTTAGATCGGGCGGCTGATGTTGTCTCATGAGACCTGATGAGATATTGGACCGTCCGATCGAGATCGACGCGCGCAACTCGGAAGGATTCGCCCAAAATTGTCCCGGCCTGTCTCGTATGTTTGCTGCAATTTGATTCTGGGCCGGGTCAGATAAGCAGCAAGGGGCCGCAACTCGGTGTAGTTAGGCCGTGTACGCTACCGAAAGGACTGAAGCACCCATGAAATTTTCACGGCTGATATGGCATCTTATTGACCGATCTTCCAATTCCAATCGAAGTGGCGGAAAGGGACGAGAAACCCATGAACCGTCCCGGGGTGATGTC